TTTTACAGGGCTAAAAATTGCCCAGATGAAAACAAAGAGGAAGGAAAGAGCTCCAGCAAAGGAAGGGAAAGTGGGAAGAGAGCCAGGAGGCGATGTCGCAGAATCCAGGGTGGGAGTGGATAGGGAAGTCAGGTTGGCGCCCAGGGAGTCACTGAGGGGGACAAGAATGGGACGGAGCGAGGGCTCCCAGGACAGGAGGAGGAGACCCTGAGCTCTAGGGTCTGCAGCCCACGCCCATCGGTGTCACATCCCTGTCCCCTACGTCCGCTGTCACCCCCAAGATGCACACGGACGCTTCCCACCGCGGCCAGCAGAGGGCGCCGGCCCGCGCAGGGAGCAAAGGAGGCGGGTTGGGACTCCTTCCCCAGGACAGGGCTGAGGGTGTTTTGTGGTCTGCGGGGAGCACGGAGATGTGAACGAGCTGAGAGGCCAGAGGGCGACCTGGAAAAGACCCCATCCAGATCCTGTGCAGCGACGAGCTGGGCACAACCTGGCTTTTGTTTAGGCCGAGGTGGGCTGGGAGCAACAGAGGCAGGTTCAAAGGAGCCAAGGAAAGGCGTTATTTTATTTTTATTGTTTTGCAGTGCTGGGGATTGAACCCAAGGCATCTGCCTTTGCACTGAGTACCTCCTTAAATCGCCCGGGCTGAGCCTGAACTTGCAATCTTCTTCCTCAGCCTCCTAAAGTTCTGGGATTACAGGCATGTGCCAGCACACGCAGCTAGATAATTGCAATTTTATTTTATGAAAAAAAAATTTTTTGAGACAAAATCTTGCTCTATAGCCTGGCCTGACCTGGCCTCGAACTCAAGGCGACCCTCCTGGCTCAGCCTCCCAAATGCCGGGATTAAAGGCATGAGTTATCATGCCTGGCTGGAAAATTGAATTTTAAAATTGTATTTTTACAAAGAAGTCCAGCTTCAAGATACAATCAAAGTAATCAAGGTTATAATACCTATTTCCAGAAGACTCACTCTAAAAAAATCCCTAAGTGTCTTAAAGATACAAGTAGCCTGTAAATTGGGCTGTGCTTCGTCCATGCTATAGATGCACAAATCTTACAGGCCTCCTTCCTCAAGGAAAAAGTGGGCAGCAGATCCCTAAACTTCCGATACGACACAGGCACATGGGGTGCATCTACCTAGTCACTAAGACAGGGAGCCTGGCAGGTACCGGAAATGCACAACCTGGGCCTGTCTTGAGGACACCTAAGATCACACACAGAAACCCCAAGTCCAGGCCGTAACTTTGCATCTCCCTCCCCTTGGAGCCTGTGCTTCTGCCTGCCTCTCATGGATGTGTCCTGTGTGAGTTGTGAACCTGCAGCTCACCCTGTGGGTGGGCTCAGTGGAGGTGCCCGTCTCTCTTTGGGGTCGTGCCAGAGTATAAGGGAGTATTTGGACACTCCCCACATACACATTCTGGAAAGTGAACCCAGGGCCTTCCTTCATAATGAGCAAAACCCCCAACCTTTTGTTATTTTTACAGGATGAGTCAGGGTCTCACCAAGTCACTAAGTTGCCCAGGCAGGGCTCAAACTTGCCACCCTCCTGCCTCAGCCTCCCAGACTGCTTAGATTACCAATATGTGTCATTACACTGGGCTCTGAACAGCCTTTAAGTAGACCAGATGGCAATTCTGAAGAGATTCCATCTAGCTCCTGTGCAGGGAATGGACTTCTCCTGAGTAGAATTGTGGCTGTCAGTCCTGCCTCTGTCCTTCTATGTGCAATACAGGTATAATTGACACAACATCAAAAACAGATGGAGGCTCAAGTGTTCTCCAGTAACAGAATCCATAGTCTCTCCCTTCCTCTTCATGACCAAACTTTTCAAAAAAATAGATTACGTGCAGATGACCTGATTATGTAGAAAATCCCAAGGAATTACTTAAAAAACAACAGCAAACTTCTAGAACCGATAATGGAGATAAGGTTGCAAGATATCAGATAAACACACAAAAATGAACTGCATTTTTATATATTAGCAATGGACACACAGACACCAAAATAAAATACAATACTATTTATAATCACTAGAAAATAAATGTAAATCAAACAAAGCAAATAAGATTTGTGTACAAATAAATAAAGACTATGTGTTGCTGGTGGAAGAAACCAAAGAAGATCTAAATAATGGAGCAGCGTATCATTCTTGTGGATTGGAAGACAACAGAGTAGAGATGTTGGTTCCTGGAGGCTGAGACAGGAGGGCTGTGAGTTTGAGGCTACCTAATGAGACCCTGTCTCAAAAAACAAAAATCAAAAATAAACAAAAGATTTCAGTTCTCTTCAAGTTGATCTATAGGTTTAACACAATTTCTGTCAAAATTCCAGTAAAATTTTTCATATCCATGGACAAGATTATTTTAGAACTTATACACAAAGGTAAGGAATTAGAAAAACTAAAAGAATTTTGAAAAAGAGGAACAAAGTAGGCAGAATCAGTCTGCCCTGCAGCAGGACTTGCTGTGTGCTCCCGTGATCACAGACTGTTTTGTGCTGGTGCAGGGATGGACACAGGTCACTGGGGTAAAGCAGAGAGCCGTAAGTGGACACACCCTTCTATGCAGACCCGATTTTTTTTTCTTGAGGAACCTGGGATTGAACTCAGGACCTTGTGCTTGCAAGGCAGGCACAGTGCCACTGAGCTAAATCCCCAGCCCTCAGACCCAATTTTTTTTTTGGTACCAGGGATTGAACCCAGGACCTTGCATTTGCAAGGCAGACAGTGGAACCACTGAGCTAAATCCCCAGCCCATCAGACCCAATTTTTGATAAAGATGCAAAAACAATCCCATGGAGAGAAGATAGCCTTTCAGCAAATGATTCTGGAGCAATTGAGCATCCAGAGACAAAGTTAATCTTGACATAAGCCTCACACCTATAAAAACATGAATTCAAAATGGATCACAGACTTAAAAGTAAAATAGAGAAACATAAAACTGTTAGAATGAACACAGGATAAAATTTCAGGGTCCGTGGCTAAAGACTTCTTAGACTTGACACCAGAGGCTTTGTCCACAAAAGGAGAGATGGATCAGTTGTACTTCATTGAAATAGAAACCCTTGTTCTGCAAAATACCCTGCTCAAAGGATGAAAAGATGAACTCAAACTGGGAGAAAATGTTTGCAGACCACACACCCAACAAAAGCCTCGTGTCCACAGCACAGAAAGGACTTGATGGAGCAGTAACAACAGTGAACAACCAATGAGGACATGATGGGATAGCAGTGTCCTCAGCTGGCAAGGGACCACATCGGACTCTCCAGAATGAAAAATAGTCACCAGGCTAAGTGTTGGTGAGGATGCAGAGAACGTGTATCAAACAACCATTGCTGGGGGAAATGTAAAATGATACGGCCATTCTGGAAGAGTTTAAATAAGACTAACCATGAAATCACTGTACAATCTAGAAACTTCATACTTGTGCATTTATTCCAGAGAAATAAAAATACCTATTTACACAAAAACCTGTCCTTGCATGGTCTTCAGCAGCAGCTTCAGCGGCAACAGTAAAAATCTGCAAATGACCCAGATGTTCTTCACAGCTGGATGGTAAGCCAGCGGCTCCCATCCCAATACACTCAGAACGAAGAGGAATAAGCTATCAAGAGTGTACATGCGACAGCCGGGGTGAATCTCCAGGGAATTAATGCTGAGTGAAAAAAACAATCTCCAAGGCAGGCATGGAGGCACACGCCTGTAACCCCAGCACTTGGGAGGCTGAGGCTGGAGCTTCCCCAGGAATTTGAGGCCAGACTGGGCTACATAGTGAGTTCAAGGCCAGCCTGAACTACAAAGCCTCCCAAAAGGGGGTTTTCCACCTGGGCCTGAGCACTTTCAAAGATGACCACTAGATGGCAATGCTTTCTGCTGCAAGTCACAGGAAACCCCTAGGATGGAGAAAAACTGAGGTTTCCTTTTCTCATCTGTCAGGAGCCCCAAGGTAGGCAATTCAATGGATGAGTGTGTTTCAGTTGCTCAGTGACTTCTTGAGGACCTGGGTTCCCCATCCTTCAACTGTGACAGTCTCAAAATGTGGCCTTTTGTTTCATCCTTCTGCTTGTGGTTGTTGCCTCGTGACTGCAGGATGGCTGCACAACCCTGGACATCCCATTATGTCAAAGACAGGAAGAAGGCAAAGGGGGGGAGGATGTGTGCCAGTGAGTTCTCTTTCTTTGCCTATTTTCTTTTCTTTTCTTTTTTTTGTACCAGGGATCAAACTCAGGTCCTTGTGCTTGTGCAACAGGTGGCGAAACCACTGAGCTAAATCCCCGGCCCTCTGCCTATTTTCTTTATATGAGAGCAAAACTCTAGAACTTCTCCAGCATATTTCCATCTATGTTTACTGGTCAGGACTGTATCCCTGGTTAAAGAGAGGATGGGAAAGCAGGATTTAATTTTTCCAGCCTCTGTCCTGGAAGGTGACGGTGTCGTGAGGGACGGTTGCTGAGTCTGTCTTGGATACTGACTGACTGACTCTTTGGAGCAGACCCTGCAGGGATTGAGCAGGAACCAGGCAGGGCCAAGGGCCCCACAGTGCAGTACGGTAGCCAGGCAATTCCCAGGCACCCACATTTTCTTACAGAAGATGAGGACGGAAATCTGTACCCCTGAACCCTCAAGCCTTGTGTCCAAGCCTCCTCCTGTCCTGCCGGCACTCCTGCTGTGGTGTAGACGGCTTAGCCCCACTGGGAGGGGCACAGGGATGCCAACTATTGTGGCGGATGGGACAGTTTTACTGTGGGGGCCTCTCCTGGTGTCCCCTGCCCTTTGGTTGAAAGAGGGCTGGGGAGGGAGGCAGGAGGGCTGGGTCATCACCTGAGTTCCATCCGGAGCTGGGGGTGGGTAACCAGATGGCAGAGCTGCTGGGGACCTCGGGGTGACACCTGTGGGTGAGCTGTTCTGAGCAGCTGGGACACCTGTGTCATGCCAGGCGCCGCACCCCGCCCTCTACTGGTGTCATCTGGTGTCAGCGGCTCCTCCCCTGGCTGGCGGTGATAAAGGCAGGGCCTGGTCCCTGCTCGCTGTCTGCTGGAGCTGCAGCAATGTGGGCGGCCCTTCTCCTCCTGCTGTGGCTGAGCCCTGTGGTCTCCCAGTTGAACATAGGTGAGGCTATGTGGCACCTGAAGTGGAGGTTATGGGGCCCCCAGCCTGTGGTCGCTTCTGCTCATTCGTCACCCTGTTTCATCTGGTGCGAGTTAATTCCGGCCCCAGACCTTGACTGAGCGCTGAAGCTGTGTGGGACGGGGCTCTCTGCGTCCACTTCCGGTCTGTATCTCAGGCACAGCTTGGGACCGTCTGGATGGGACAGCGTGTCCAGATGGGAAGGTTCTGGGGTGAAAAGGCGTGTGACAGGGGCAGGAGGGAAGGGGAGGTCACGAGCCAGGGTCTAGGTTATCAGCAGACTCACCGATCCACCAGGTTTGCTGAAGTTTCCTGGAAATGCAGTGGGAAACTCAGTGAAGTTGTATTTACTGGCCCTTGGGCGCGTGTGAGTGCGGGGGGTGGTGGGGGGGTGGTGGTGGTGTCTCGCTATATATATAGTTCAGGATGGGCTTGGATGGGCTTGGATTTACTTTGTAGCCCAGGTAGGCCTTGAATTTGCAGCGAGGCTGCTGCCTCAGCCTCCTGAGCACTGGAATTATAGGTGTGCTCTCCCACACCTGGCTGTTCCTGCCCCGCTGAGGTTCGTGGAAGACCTGAAGGCCTTGAATGCACAGCTGGTCGCCCGCCGGCCGCCTACCCCTTCTGTATGTGGCCGTGGCAAGGGAGTCGCTTCTCAGTCTCCCCTGTAGGAGCAGGAGGTGAGATGGCTGCTCCCCCGTCCCTGCCAGCGGGGAAGCTGTCACGGGACCTCGTCCATCTCGGGCTCCTGGGGCTCCGGGCTGTTTCTGTAACTTGCATTCCAGCCCTGCCCCGAGCCCGGGCCTGCCTGGGGACCTGGAGGCTGCCGTAAGCTCGGCTCCTCCTGCGAATCCTGCAAACCCTTCTGAGGTTTGGTCTCCTTCCAGTTGAGCACTTAGGTATGGGCGCCGTGTCCTGGCCTGAGACCCGCCCTGAGCACCCGCATCACGAGCTGCCTGGGCTCTCGGAGAAGTCCTGGAGCCCACCCCCCTCCTGGACACTGCATCCAATGTCATGCATCTTCCTTCCTTCCTTCCTTCCTTCCTTCCTTCCTTCCTTCCTTCCTTCCTTCCATTCCAGGCTGGCCTTGAGCTCACAGTGGAGCCCACGCTGGCCTTGAACTTGCATTCCTCTGCCTCAGCCTCCCAGAGTGCTGGCATTACAGATTTGCAGCACTATATCTGGCTAATTTATTTTAAGACTATTTATTATGGAAACCTTTGGGCTCCCAGGATAGTATAATGGATCCAATGTTGGCCAACATCAAAATTATTGAGAATTTGTTCAAGCTCTTCTCTCCCATATTCCCTTACCTTGCCAGAGATAATGTAATTAAAATACCATGATTTACTATGTCAGTGTCCATGATTTGATTCTTCACTTGTCAAAAATGCCTCTGTACAGTTAGCTTACCTGAATCTGAACCAAACGGGGGCCACACACACGTTTAATTAAGTGTCTAAACCACTTACCAGAAGCTGGGCCTGGCAGCACATGTGTAATCCCAGCTATTTGGGAGACTGAGGCAGGAAGATTGAAAGTTCAAGCCCAGCCTGGGCAATTTAGTGAGACGCTATCTCAGAATAAAAGGACTGCCGCTCAGTGGTACGGTGTTTGCCCAGCATGTGGGTGGCCCTGCTAACTTGCTTTCTTTCTTACTTTTTTGTTTTTCTTTTGAGACAAGGCCTGGCTGTGTAGTTCAGGCTGGCCTTAAACTCACTATATAGCCCAGACTAGCCTCAAACTCAAGATCCTCCTGCCTCAGCCTCCCAAGTGCTGGGATTACAGGCATGAGCCACAACTCCAGGCTTGAGGCCCTGGCTTTGACCCCAGTACTAGAAAAAAATTGTAGACACATGAGCCCCATTTTCCTCTTGCCATTTATTTGCTGAGAAAACCAGGCAATCTGTCCCGTAACATCTCCTCCATTCTGGGTTTGGCTGGTTGGCCTCTGGTGACGGCTCCAGGCCCCTGTATTTCCTGCTGTTTGTCTGTCAGAGGCAGAGCAGAAGCAGCGTTTCTGTGGGTGCCAGGGCTGCGCGCTTCCTGTTGTGTCTGGGAGGAGAAGCACAAGAGCTGCTGTCCGAGTATTGGTGTCAAACTTGCTCAGCCGGGAGCTTCCCATCCGCCTTCCTTCCAGGTTTTAGCTGCTACTGCTGAGGACTGCTTAGAGCCCCTTTCTAAAAGCAGGGGCTGCCAACTGGTGGTTTTTTAATTTTACCAGTCTTTCTGCATTTATTAGCTGGAATTTTTCTATCAAGAATTTGCCCTTGCCAACTATTTAACTATTTGGTTTGCATGGAAGGGCTAGATCAATGTCTGCTGTTTAGTTTTTATTTTAATTTTTTGCAGTACTGAAGACTGAACCCAGGGCCCTTGGCAATGAGCTCCATCCCCGGCCCTTTGGTATTTTTTTTTTTGTAGACAGGGCCCCACTAAGTTGCTAAGTTGCCCAGGCTGGGCTTGAACTTGGGATTCTTGGAGAGGAGCAGGTGGTGCCGGCTGCCCCAGAGGCCTGTGAGCCAGAGCCAGGAGAGGTGTGAACAGCAGGGACAAGTCCCCTCTGGCGCCACTTCCAGCATGACCTTGGGCAAACGCTCTTCCCTCATCTGGAAACCAGAGCATCTCTCTAGATCGGCTGCTTTCCGTTTTTTCCAGCCCCAGTCCACATTAATAAACACATTTGATGCAGTGACCCAATACATACATGTATGTCCAGAAAAATTTCAAAAAGATCAAGTTAATAAGTTACTGTTATTAAAGACAATGGATGTGGATCTATTTGGTTCTCTCTGATCCCCTTCCAGCTGGGCTCAGCCCTTCCTATTAAGAGAAATGTCCCCAGAGTTGACCCCTGACTCCTGAATCACCCTTGGGATGGTCCCTGGCTCACCCTCCCTGCTTAATCCTTGGTCTTGGTGACAACTTGATGCTGAACCCAGCCCTTGGGAAGAGAGAGAATTCGAGGAGGAGGCCACATCATCCATAAGAGGCCGCTGAGCTGAATGAGGGTAGAGACCATGCCACATTTTGCGGCCACCACCCCAGCCTAGTTGTGTCCTTGTCCCTGGACACCTGCTGGCTGCTGTTTCCACAAACCACTGTGGTGTTGGCCATACTCTGGGGACTGCACCTGTCGATGCTGCCAGTGCTGCAAAGCCCACAGTTTATCCTTAAACATAGCCCTGGGCAGGTGGCAGCCCAACAGGAGGTTGCTGCGAAGCCGGGGTAGAGGAGAGCAGGACAGCAGTGGGCATCGTGGGTGAGAACACCCAAGGCCCCCAGAGTCACCAGGCCACAGTTCCTGCCGGCCGGTTCCTCACTTTCCTGAGGCACCCTCTTCCTGTAGTGGATGGAAATGACCAGAGAATCAGCGACTGTGGAAGCTCTGGGGAGCGGAGTTGGCAGAGCTTTGGCAGATGGGGCCGAGAAGAGCGCTTACTCTTATGCAAACTCCTCCTAGGAGCTTAATAGTTTCAGCTCTTCCACTTGGATCTGTGACCCCCTTTGAGTTAAGTTTTGTATGAGGTGTGATGAAAAAATACAGCAAATATTTAAAATTTTTTAAAATGTAATTACAGTAGAAGACACATTGCTGTTAATCCCTCTCAAACCTACCCTTCTTTTTGAACTCACTCATCCCATATTCTTGCCACTTTCTGCAGCAGTTCTGGAGTCCTCTTTCCTGAGGTTTTTTAGTTGAGCTGTCCTGGCTGCATCGATATCCTGAATCCATTCAAAATGTTTCCCTTTGGGGCCGGGGATTTAGCTCAGTGGTGCCGCCACTTGCCTCAAAAGCGCAAGGTTCTGAGTTCGATCCCTGGAACCAAAAAAAAAAAGTTTCCCTTTCATGGTCATCGTGACTTTAGGGAAGAGCTAGGAGTTCCATGGTGCCTGATCTTGTGAATGAAGTGGATGAGGACACAGGGTCATGTTTCTCCCAGCCTGCCTTTCCGTGGGATGGCACTGGACAGCAGCAGTCTCTGTAGTTTTGATCACACCTCAGAAAGACACTCAGGAAAGAGGACTCCCAGAACTGCTTCGGAAAGTGGTGAGAACATGGGATGAGTGTGTATGAGGTGAGGGGGAGGATTTTGAGGGGATTCATGGCATATCTGTTCAAATTTTTTTAAACATTCTCCTTATATTTGGATCACCTCTTGCATATGGTGTGAGGTTTGAGTCTAGATTCATTGTTTTGCATGCAGATACCTAGTTGTCCCAGCACTATTTGTTGAATCAATTCTCCTGAGTCGATTCTTTCTCTCACTCTCTCTCTCTTTCTGTCTGTCTGACTCTCCTGTACTAGGGATTGAACCCAGGACTTTTGCACTGAGTTACATCCCCAATCCCTTTTTTATAATTTTTTTTTTAATTTTGAGACAGGCTCTTGCAAAGTTGTCCTGACTGGGCTTGAACTTACAATCCTCCTGCCTTAGCCTCCCACACTACTGGGGTTAGGTGTGCACCACCAGGCCTGGCTGAACCTATCTTTTTTCCTAGGCAGTTGCTCCCAACCGAACCCCCTCTGCTGCCAGGGATTCAATCACAGCTGCATCAGGGGAACCTGCTTCTGCGATGACTACTGCATCAATATCTCAGAGTGCTGTGTGGACTACAGAGCTGTCTGCCGCCCCAGTGACTCCCGTAGGTCCATGGGTGGCAGAGGCCATCCCGAGACCCTACTCTGTCCATGGTACATCAGCAGCGCGTGCAGATCGCCCAGGGTGTCCCAGAGCTCCCTGCCACCACTGCTGCCCTCTGAGTTGCTCTTCCAGGCCCCGAAGGGAGAGGTGGCGCTGCTGGGGGTGGGGACCAGGGTGGGAGATGAGGTGTTGGGTGCCACATAACTACCACCTTGCCTTGCAGGCGTCTGTCTTCTCTTCACCTGTCCCAGACAGGCTTTGTTTTTGTCTGTCTGTTTGGTTGAGACAGGGCCTTGCTATGTAGCTCAGACTGGCCTTGAACTCATTGTGTGGCCCAGGCTGGCTTGAACGTTTGGTGATCCTCCTGCCTCAGCCTCCCAACTAGGTAGACTTCAGAGAGAGACAGGGGTGTGTGGAGAGGTGCTGGGACACTGGGACCCAGCAGCGAAGTGGGAGGAGGGACAAGCACAGACGCCGCCCTGTGTTTCTCACAGTGCCTCTCGGGGACAAGATGGTGCTACGTATGGTGCTGAGGATACAGAGCCCTCCCTGCCCTGACAGCAGCAATCCAGACTTGGTGCAGAGCATGGTGAGTGCCCCCGAGGTCCCCCCAGGGTGGGTGCCCCCTGCTCCTGCCTCCCACCCAGGGAGCGATGACCCAAGGGACAAAGTGTCCCTGAGCTCAGCCGAGCAGCTCCCCTGCAACAGTGGCTTTCAGGACCGAGCTGGGATTTCTGCCCAGGGATAAGGGAATTTTAATTTCATTTCATTTTTAATGTATCTTGAAATGTTATTCTTTTGATCCCCGCCCCCCATTTAAAAATGTAGAAAACAAGCTGGGCGTGGTGGCATATGCCTGTAATCCCAGCGCTTGGGAGGCTGAGGCAGGAGGATCACCAGTAGTTTGAGGCCAGTCTGGGCTAGGTAGTGAATTCAAGGTCAGCCAAAAATATTTCTTTAAAAGAATGTAGAGCACATTCTTAGCTTTCAAACTGTACAAAAACAGGCAGTGGTTTGCTACCCTCCTCCCTCTGCCTGCTCTGTCCCCTCCTTTCCTTTGGTGTCCTGGCTGCAGCCCTGATGGGCACAGACCCTCAGCAGCCCTGGGGGCTGTGTCTGGACCCCAGCCCTGGCCCTTCAGTATGGGCAGAAACAGAGGCAGCATGGGATGGGCGGAGGGCAGGGCCTCAAGGGGCAGGTGGACCTGTCTTCAACCACTTCACCACTTTGTCTCCGGGGGACCACTTGGGACTCCCCCTTAGCCTTTCTCTTGCTTCCTTTTTGCTTTCTGTTTTTTGAGTCAAGGTCTTACCATGTAGTTCAGGCTGGCCTCCAACTCACCACGTAAGCTGCTGGCTTCGAACTTGAAGCAACCCTCCTGCCTCAGCCTCCCAAGTACAGGGATTATCCTTTAGCCTTTCTGAGCTCTGTTTCCTCTTCTGTATCCTGAGCTGGCCAGAAGGCTGTGATGAAGATGAGTTGGGATTAAGTGTGGAAGGGCATGGCCAGTGCTTGTCCTAGGAGAGGGACCGGGGCTCTGCTTGCTGCTCTCCTAGGCCCAGAAGCTTCTCCAAAGCACTCTGCTGAAGAGGCAGCTCTCCATGTCTGTGAAGGGAGTCGGGAAGAAAGCCTGAGTCCTCCCTCGGCACGGCTCGCCTGTCCCCACCATGGCCCATGGGGCCCATGCTGCTGGGCCTTTGATGTCTGCTTTCATCCTCCGTTTGGTGACTTCTCAGATCCCCTAACCACAGGATAGCCGGGACCTGCCTTCGCCCAAACATACCAAGATGTGCCCGGGCACAGCATACAGATCATGGAACATGTATTTGGCTCATGGTGGTGTTTTGTTGTTGTCATTGTTTGAGACAGGGCCTCACTGTGCAGCCCAGGCTGGCCTCAAACTTGCAGCGATCCTCCTGCCTCGGCCACCAGGGTACTGGGTCACAGGGAGCACCACCATGCCCGGCCTGGCTCCCGCTGTGATTCCTCAGGCTGTGGTGGCTACAGGGACATAGCAAACGTTTCTTTCTTTCTTTCTTTTTTGGTACTGGGGATCGAACTCAGGACCTCGTGCTTGTGAGCCAGGCATGGCACCACTGAGCTAAATCCCCGGCCCGCAAACATTTTTTGAAGGTGAAAAATGAGACCCCAGCCATGTGTCCTCTCCCCTCGTGTGTCCCCTGGGCCCCAGGTGGTGGCTTGCAAGTCTGGAGAGGCCTGGTCTACAGATTCCTGTCTCTTCTTGGGGTGGAAACAGTGGCGGGACTTCCGGGTGTCCCCTTGCAAGCAGGGTGGCAAACTCGAGCAGGCGATGCCAGCATGTGCGTGTCCCTCTGGGCCCAGACTCCTCCTCTGGTTCCTCTGCCCGTGCCTTCTTCCCCGTGGTCCTCTGTTATGTTCCCATGTGGAAGTCCTGGGCACAGCTCCACCCTGCTGCTCTGGCCCCTGACTCTTCTCTAAACTGGTCTCGGTCCAGGTCAGAGTCCCCAACCCTGAGCCCGGTCCTGCCAGTTCCCTGCTCCAAAGCCTCCTCTTTGTCACTTAGCCCTGGGACACAGGCCAGCTGACTGCTTGGGGCAGCCGAGTGGCCCAACCCACCATGATCCCGCCGAGCCCCCTGGGCTGCTGCTGATCTACCCACCGCTCTCCAGGTGGAGGTGATGGCTCAGGAGCCCTTGGGCCCAGAGCCCAGCTCTTGACTAATGGGTTTGTCTTGGCTTAGTCTCTGGGAATGATTTGTTTGGCGACATAATCCCCAGGAGCAGGGGTTAGGGAAAGGGGAGGAGAAGCAGGGACAGGGGAGAGCCAGCACGAACGCCTGTCACCTGGGAGGCTGGGCCAGGAGGATTTCGGATTTGAGCCCAACCTGGGCAATTTAGCCACTTGGTGGAGACACTGTCTCAAAATTTAAAAATAGATAAACAAACAAACAAACAAAAATTTAAAAGGCTAGAGGTATAGCTCAATGTGAAGGTCCTGGGTTGATGCTCCAGAATCAGAAGCAAAGCAAGCAAGCAAGCAAGCAAAACAAAAGAGATCTGTTAGATGTGCTGTCCGGTTAGCCCCTGCCGGTGGCTGGCTGGTTGCTTGACCCTGTAAGTCCCATTCTAGGAAGACTTTGGAGCGGGATGTGATATGCACACCTGTGATCCCAGCACCCTGGGAGCTGAGGCAGGAGTATCGAAAGTTTGAGCCCAGCTTGGGCAACTTAGTGACTTAGAGACCCTGACTCAAAATTAAAAAGGGGCTGGGGATGTAGCTCAGTGTGAAGGCTCTGGGTTCAATCCCCAGTGAAGAAAGAGAGAAAGAAAGAAAGAAAGAGAGAAAGGAAGAAAGAAAGAAAGAAAGAAGGAAAGAAAGAAGAAAGAAAGGAAAGAAAGAAAGAGAGAAGGAAAGAGAGACACAGAGAGAGAGAGAGAGAGAGAAAAAAGAAAAAAGAGAGATAAAGAAGAGAGAGAGGGAGAGAAAGGAAGCCTTGAGAAACATGTCTGAAAGCCGTCTGCCCCCCGGGGACAAAGCCGCCTGCCGCTCCCACACCCTGGATTTCCACACAGGACAGGCAGATGGGAGAATAACCCTAACAGTCGCTCTGCAGGCTTTTGGCTAAGATCAAGTGTGGTATCTGTTCTTATCAGTTTTATATCTGATATGCCTTCTAGCCAAGGACAATCAGTGTATTACGTGGATTTTGGAGCTGGGAGATGGAATAGGAGCTGGCTCCGTCCACTCCACCTATTGACCAGGTATTGGAGCACCTCCAGGAACTGTGCACCAAAAAAACCAATATCCCTAGCAGCTTTGTTCAGAATGGGGCCACCTGGAGTCACCCAAATGCCTGTCAGGAGAAAGCGAGGGACACCTGTGGTACACTGATGCACCAGAATATGACCCACCATCAAAACCGATGGACTACAGTACCCATGGCACAGGTGCGGCTCGAAGACTCCATGCTAGGAGAAAGAAGCCAGGCATAGACGTGTGCACGCACAACTTGCTGACGTGATGCTCAGACACAGGCAGGGCCCATCCTGCTGATCATCCTGGGGAGCCTGTTAAACTGAGTGGCAGAAACATCCCCGGAGCACACATATGTAAAAACTCCGCAAGCTGGGAGCCAGAGGTGGTGGTGCATGGCTGTAATTCAGCTACTCAGGAGGCTGAGGCAGGAGGATCTCAAGTTCAAGGGCAGCTTGGGCAACTTACCCAGACTCTGTCTCAAATTCCAATTTTAAAAAGGGATAGGAAGTTAGCTCAGTGGTAGAGCACTTGTTTGGCATGTATCGGGCCTGAGGTTCGATCCCCAGTACTGAAAAGAAAGAAAAAAAAATCCTTCAAGCTGTAGGCTACCCTCCACAGGCTGGTATGTGTGCGAGTTTTACCCTAATAAAGCAGGTGAATGAACAGGTAGGCGGAGGGTTCCTGGTATGGTGTTTCCTAGTCCACAACCGAGGAAATGTGAGCTGGTGTGGGGGGGCTGTTCTCAAGCCTTAAGAACTTAGAGGATTTCCACCAGCGACCCTGCTTGGCCCACACGGTGCCCACTCAACAGCTGGAACCTGTGGGGACCCACTCAGAACCCCCCCCCCCGTTTGCTTAAAGATTGGATTTTGTTTTGTTTTGTTTTTTGAGACAGTCTCACTGCGAAGCCCAGGCTGGCCTCGAACTCATAGGGATCTTCCTGTCTCAGCCTCCCTAGTATGCCTGGTATTTTTTCCCTAAAATTTGTCTTTATTCAGTTAATTTGCACACACACTCCCTGCCCACTGCCAAATTGGCAGAGGAAAAGTTTTCTATCCCACCAACCTGTGAGTACTGGCAGTGGCCAGAGGAGCTAGGATGCAGCTTAGGGGCCCAGCTCCTCTCTGACCTCATATTTCAAGAACACGTCACTGACTCTCCACTTCTCTCTGCCCTGGCAGCCTGGTGCCCTGGGCTAAACTTGGCACCCTGGCCCTAAATCTCACTCCACCCATGGGATGTGCCAGCTTTCCTGAGGGCGGGGCAGCCCAACCTACAGGGCCCACACAACTCCAGCCTGCAGGGCCTCGGGTGATCGTGTGGTTACTCCTGACTCCTCTGCTTCTTTGACCTCACGGCAAGCCACTGCTCTGCTTCAAAATACACAGACGGTCAGACTCTTCCCCCATCTTCTCCAGAGGTCCCCACCTCTCACTTGACCCAGCTCCCTGCTTCTACTCTGTTCTCCACGCAGCCTCCAGGGCCGCCTTCTCAGCCTCCTCTGCTCTAGACTTCAGGACACCTGGCCAGAGAGTCCTGGAGGTCATTGCGGGGCTGAGTTCCTGTGCCAGGCCCAGGGCCCAGACTGAAGACCAAAATGGAGTCACCTGTGCCAAGTTCCACCTCACCACGCTGAAACTGAGTTTCAGAGAAACTGAGAGAGAGAAGGGTAGGAGAGACAGAGACAGAGAGAGTCAGAGAAGGGGAGAGAGACCAAATTTCCCAACAGGCTAGTTTCAGTTGACATGATGATAAAGTAAGCCTAAAGCCTTACCCCCCCAAAAGTAACCTGATATGAACCAATCAGTGTTTCCCTGTTCCCCCCTCACAAGGAAAATAACCTCTAACAGT